AGCAGTCGTCGACCTCTGCTGACGTCCGTCTCGTACGACGTCCGTCTGTAGTAGCTCGGCGAGGCTGTCAGCACCCGGCAACGGTCACTCGTACCCAGTGCACTCTGTTCTGGCCCGCGACGCCGACACAGGGTCTGTCCGTCTGCCGCAACTTACCCCAGGTTGACTTCTTCGCTAAGTTATGGCGGGAACGAGCCGACGTAGCTCGCAGGTGGCCAGTCGGCCGCGCCAAGAGAAGGGACCTGAGGCGTCACCATGAATGATGCGTTCAGGAGGACCGGGAGTTCTCCCGGCAATCGGTTTTTGCCGAAAGACATCGTGCGCCCCCTGCAAACCGTCAAGTCTTCGCAGTCAAACCCGAAACAGAATAATTACGGGGTCGGTGCCACAAATCGCCGACTCCCTGTCGCCACGAGAGACTCTAAGGGGTGGGTCGTACACCTACATGGACCTACCTGAGGACCGCGCTACCGTCGAAGCAACTCCCGCGGACCCTAGAGAGCTCACACGACTATTTCAAGTCCGGCAACCAAAACTTCGCAATGAGTTCTATTCACAGAAAGTACGTCTCTCCAGTGAAAGAGTACACCGAGTAATCAAGTTTTACGGGCTTCCCGTCACGCGGTCACCTACTTCTCAAGGTTGCAAGCTAAGTCCCACGTGGGCCCGACCCCGACGCGGTGAGCTTAACGCTACGAAAGAAGGGCGGCGGTCACACGGCGACCGTACGCGATACGGCTCTCCCTCTGAGCCCTTTTCTGACGACCTCATCCACACGGACATGACGTCACTCAAGCTCAGCGTCGTCGCCGTGGGCCTCTGGCTGGGCTCGCGACGGAGACCGTCACCCTCCTTACGGACCGAGAATTTACCGCGGTTTCTGACACCAGAGCAACTCCGAGATGCGAACACAGTCCACTATATGTCGCCCGAACCTTCCTCGGTCGTTGCCCCTTCTCTACACTTCAAGTCAGGGCCTCCCCAGGACGTTCTGCCGGCAGAGTCCGAGTACGGACCTTGGGCCGCAAGACCCGTTGAACCGTATGGTGCTGAGAGCCGCCGGAAACAGTCCCGACATGACCGTCACATCATCGCTCGCGAACAGCCCTGAAGACAGGCGCGACCGGGCACATCACGAGCCTTCCCGGGGGGGGGACCAGCAGGTACGAGGTGGCTGTGTCAAAGACCCCCGGCTACCTCTCTAATCGCCACCCTACACCTAGGAGAGGAACAGCCTGCCGGCCGCCCATCGTCATGTACGAGTGGGCCGTACTGATAAAGTTTTTTAGACGTCGTACCGGCATAAGGGAGGCTAGTCTCGTCTCTGATCAGTGTGGCAACGGACGGCACCGGCCGTACAAGTCGCAAACTCATGGCCCGGGGGGACGTGTAACATGGTCGCACCCCTCGCTGTTACCAGTGCCCTGAGTCGCAGTACGCGGGCAACCCGTCACCCGGCCCACTAGGATCACCTGTAGGGTATTGAGACCTCGCGGATGAAGTGGGTTCGATGCGAGCGATGCGAGGACACAGTGCGGCGGGTGTGGCCAAAGAAGCCGGGTACTGAAGCCGCGGACCTGAGTGCCTCGGCTCGCTGACACGCTCCGGCTTACTAATGAACAACGCGTTACGAGACGCGATCGGCAAGTCGTGACGAGCTGGGTCACGATCCTGCGCGTGCAGACGGGATAGCGCCCAGCTCCAAGGAACAGGTACGCGCTGACCTCGCCCTGGCGAGAGCCCGCGGGGCAGCCCACGACGTACGCTACTGTGACTAGCTCTTCTATTGTTCTGCTTCTCTGTTCTTATTATGTTTTATTGACTTATTTTTTATGTATTCGATCAAGCTTTTTTGTTCCAGAGCCGGGGTGGAGAGGAGCAGGAAGAGTACCCAACCGCGCACCTCTGAATCGTCTGGAGGCGTGTGCGGGCGACACCGCCGGTACGAAACCTAACACACGGCCGCGCTCCAAGTAAGTCTCGGGATGTGAGCGGAGACGCTGACGCGAGTAAGCGGGGGCGCAGCGCCCGACATCGGACCCTCCTTCGCCTTGATACCTGTGGGCCTTTTCTCCGTCGAAGTCCCGACCCTCGACCAACACTCAACATGTCTCCGAGTAACGTTCCCTGACCCCTGCTCCACCCCGCAAACCTGCAGGCCCTTCCGCACCACCTGGACACGGGTTGCTCGACGACGCGTAACAAGACCCCACCGGACATGGGACCTATGCCCTTATTCCTAAGCCAGATCCTACATACAAAGAGTGCCAAGGATCTTATTGAACCGTCAGAGGGTCACCCACATGCTCAGGAGACCAGGGGGGCGTCCAAAGTCGACCTCTGCCAACTAGCACATTTTAACATAACAGCTGGCCGGGGGGTACTTTAGAATATTCGTCACCTATAGGTACTACGCGTCTGCTGCGATAGGAAGTTGTAAGTCCAGGTCTAGGGCATAGTCTCAATGATCTGTGCCACTCAGTGGCCCGGGAGTACACTATACTGATGAACATAATCTTGGAAGTATAGATTCGACCGACGATCACCCGAGCCGCTTTTGTGAAACGTAGTCCATTTCGATGTAGAATGAGACCTACAGGGACGGAATACCGATGTTGTGCGTAGTAAACATAAGCACTCTGGATGCATTGAGAGACTAAGTGCTCCTGCGGATGCGAAGAGGCTATCTATCATCTTCCCCCGGTTAGCGAGGCCGGAGGATTGTTACAGGGCGACTCCGTAACGAAACTTTAGACCAAGAAGAGGTGAGGCACCATTGCAAACAGACGAAGTACACATTGGGTCTACTTCGCGATAGATTATTACCTCAAGGACTGACATGACAGATGCGCAACGGTCACGACCGACGTTTCCCATAGTACTAGGAGATACATCTTTAAGGTCACTTAGAAGTTAAATTGGCCATAGAAACTCTTCTTCGAAGAGAAGGAGAACGCGCAGATGCTGCTACTGACCAGTTAAACAAGACCTTACAGTAGACTCGACGTCTGGACCATTTGTCGCGGCGAGAGGCACTGAGGCAGCCGCATTATGTGCGGAACGAATGCTGGATAAAGTGGGGTAAATAGACAGAGCGTGGTGTCAGTAGAGTCGTCGCTCGATCTGACAGGTCTCAGAGCACACCATAACAGCAGTGAAATTGGAGCATGGAGTGCAGTGGCCCGCCGCCACTGCTGACACGGACTACACAGTGAGCAGTCGACTAGAGGGAGGCAGTCCGAGTTCGTACACACGATCACGCTGACGCATCCGATACTATGAGCGGTGATCAATCGCCGCGCTCGAGTACGCTAGAGCCAGGGGTACAAAGATATAAGTTATAACAGTCAGTCTCTAACAGGGCGTATAGAGAATCTCGAACGGGAACGCCAGCTTCTGTGGAAGTTGCGACAGAAAGTACGGGGCGGCGATATGCTAGAAAGGTAGACACAGAATCTAGACAGAGGCCGATTTCGTCCCCGTACTTCCGGATAGACACTTCCTGCATCCCGCATCCGACACAACTCACCACAACTCAGAGATTGACTGGACGGGGCGCCGTAACACGTCAAGGTTACCGTACTTCGACGGGGGTCAGTCGGAATGGCGCCAGAACCCACAGAGTTCTGCGCCCGCCGACATGCCAACTTACCGCGGCTCAACAACAAATGAGAGAGATACAGCGAAATTGAAGTAGGAGGACTCATACGAGATAACCGATGCGACGTGCGAGCGTACGGCAGGGAAGGCGCAGAGACACCGCGTTAGAAGCGCTTCTACTGGCTTACGGAGATCCGCGGAGTAGTGAGAGGATCTGCGGAGAGAAGTCGATATAGTTGAACTAGGAACACGTACAGGAGCGTGCGACAGCAAAAGGAAGACAGAACGAAAGACTCGAGATAGCGGGAGAGGCGATTGAGAAAGGTAGAGGCGAGCATTTAAAGTAGCTTTATACATAGAGAACAGCTTGCGCTAACACATGTAGGAGTTAAGACGAACAATCCTAACCCTAGGATAGGCGCAAGTGCTTTCTAGTGAAGACTTAGCAGTCCACTACTGCAGTGCCCCTGTCAGACTTGGTCTTCAACGTACAAAAACGACAAGTTCGGGTAGAATAACCGTACTCCATTCTATGATATGTCATTACCGATGTCCAACTCGAACTTCTTAATAAAGCTAAACGTGTTGATAAAGAGTAAGAGAGAGAGAGGAAACCGTAACACATAACGAGGCCCGGACTGAATGGACACCTACATGACTGAGCAGCTGGCGCGGCAGGATATGAAGCGGCAAGGTCCAGTGGTATGGTCCAACGTTTGACAATATGTATTCGTTCTACGCTACAGGGCAGGAGACGAATATAACTCAGATCCTGCCCCGACATTCTACCGCGCTCACGTGTGGGAAGAGCTTCGGCACGGCCTTGAGCTCTCCTCCAATGATATCCACCTGGCTCCACTTGTAGCTGTCTATGAGTATGGATACACTTCTAAAAATAATGCGTACTCTTCGCTCTCAAATAAAATATTTGGTTTATACTGTTAACTTGTTACCTTCTGATACTAACTGACAACACTAGGTTATCCACACATCAACACGAATAACTAAGTAAACGTTAGTAACGGTGTCCAGTAAAATGGGAAATTTTCAGATGAGCCGCATGACGTGGGCGGGCGGCGGTGACGGGGGGCGGGGGGGGGGGGGGAGGGGGGGGGGGGGGCGGCGGGACCCGCGGGGCAGCCGGTTACATAAGCCCACACACATAGAACAGCCGCTTTCGTCACACCGTCCAGCTCGACAGGCCCGACTAAACATCAGGGTCAGGGGACACGCCGCCGAGGATCGCGGGTGGGGGCGCGGGGCTGCGGGGCCGCCGACGGCGGGCCGCGGCGGGCGCCGGCTCACGCCAGCGTAGCCCACCACCCTCGCACGGGCAAGCAGTCGACGCACGAGTGACTGGGGTAAACGAAAATAAGAACAGGTAGTCGACCAGATACACATCCAGAACGTGACGTACCCACTACCTCGTACGCCTGGGTAAGGACGGGCTGAGGGTTTAGCGGCGGAGGAGGGGGGAGGAGGGAGCAGGCCAGGTGTTGGTGATTGTAAGTGTGAAAAATGAAAAAGGTACGTTCAAAAAAAATAGACGATGCAGCTTGTACACCAGAAACTACAATAAAACCCACGACCATGACAATAGCCAACTGCACAAACCCACACTACACACACTGTTATGGCCTAGTGTCCAAACCAAGAGAAGCACGAACACACACACACACACACCACCGGCGCGGGCAACACTTGATGGGACGCGTGTCCCCCGTATCAATCTCGTGTTCCACCAGATGCGTTCGGCCCACCTCCTCCTCCTTCATGGCGAAACTGCCCTGGAACTCTAGCAGCAGCTGCCACAACTGCTCTTGCTGCTCTGGATTTAGGCCGCCACAGTTCTTCCGCCTCACCTCCAATACTGCCGACTGAGCCTCTTCCACCCCAGTACGGGGTAACTGAGGGGGGGCCGTGATCGGTTGGCACAGTCCGGGGGTGACCGGTGCAGCATTGTCCTGAGTGGGCGTCACCATGGATACGGGAAAGCAGGAAGGATTTTCTTCCGTTCCTAGAGTACTCACAGTGGGTGTAAGGGGTCTCCCCGCAGGTTCAGCCGGGACGTGGATACGGGTCATAGTGATCACCGGCCCCCCATGGAAACTCACTGTACCAGCTAGAAAATCCAGATGCCAGCCAGACACCCTCAAAAAGTCCAGACCCAGAATACACGGGTCCTGCACCTCCGCTATCCACACGGGGCGCTGCACTTCCACTCCCCCCACCAACACAGCCAGCGTACCTCTTCCTTTCATAGCCCTCCCCTGTCCGCTCCCCCAACCACAGGCCCGCACCTGGACCAGCATCCTGTGCAGCTCTGTGATTGGCCAAGAGACGGGGGATGCCTGAGTGTCACCCTCAGCCTCCTATACAGGGTCGCTACAATATCAAGGTGTGCCTTAACCTCCCTGAGCTGAGGTTATTTGAGCCTCTCAGGAGAGAGCTCTCTTCTACCTGGTTGTAGAAAAGCTCTTTAAATTCGTTAGCATAGCTAGCTAACCAGATGCTAATAACAACAGATCGCCACTGTGCTTACAACTAAAGAGACAGCCACGCAAACACTGCGGCATGTGTACTGCTCCTTGGGTAATGCAATATTTGAAGAGCTGGAGCGGGGTGCCGGTACTTTCCGTCAGCACTCACGTCTACACTCCTTTCAGACGAGACATACCACGTGAAGACACGTTACGCTCGTGTTGTGTTCAAGGAACCTGTCCTTGGCCAGGAAAAACAGGCACTCGCTTGTTTAATTGTCTGACGGACGG